CTAAAAAGCATGGAAAATTGGTCACACAAAATGAGGGACTATTTTCTTGTTCTTTGCAGAAAACTAAATAATAGCTACAATTTTCTAAATAAGGAGAGGCACCGGAGTTACAGTCATCGCACTTATACTCGAAATTAGCCCCACGGTACTTAGAATGGGATATAGTGCCGTCTGTATGAGCACCCTTTAAACTGTCAGAATTTTTGCGTTTAATCGTAAGTATTTCCACAGGGTGATCGAGATATTCTTTTAACAGTTTATTTGCCACATATTGGCGATCTTCCTCTTTCTCATCAAATTTGGCCATTTCGTAGCAAATCTCATAGGTGAATTCATTATCTTTCTTTTCTGGATCTTCCACACAGAAATCCTTAAATTTACCAAAAATAGAACTATACAAGCTAACAGGTATAGTACTAGAAGCCTCTGGTGGGCGGTGATTAAGACAAATAGGATCACCTTTCTGTCGCTTGAACCATTCCTTAGGAATTCCAAGCGTCGATGGTGGTGGCAATTCACCTATCATATCCATGTATGATCTTTTAACGCCTGCAGAGCAAGATTATGTAAGTTTAGTTTGTTTACAATCTGCTGATAGTTGAAATATCGTACCTTTCTTTACGCCAAGGATTCTGACCGGATTATTAACCGAACATTTGTGTTTTTCAATGAAATCGACAAAGTCATTTTTCGACCAGCTAAAATCTATATTTTTATTGCTAATAACAAACTTATGATGTTCCAATGGGCCTTTGAGATAGAAAAGATTTTTCAGATGGGTAAATAGTTGACTAAAATTCGCCCAATCATCGGAACCAAGATAATAAACATTTGAATCAAGATACTGGATGTATAAGGGAACTAAAAATAAAATTATTATATTAGTCAACGTAACGATATATTAAAGTTCTCAATGAATGAAACGAGAACATAGTAATAGATTTGGAAATTATTCGTGATACCTACCTTCTTCTTTAACCTTAGACGCCTGTAATATTGCTAGCTTTTCTTTCAATTCTTGCACCTCCTGATTTGACGCAGTCGTAGCTATTTAACAAGAATAAACGTATGAGGCACAAGTTAATAAATGAAATTATTGCGGAGAAAGCAGTATAGGTTTGGAATATGAGTCAGAGACTCTATGCTCCGCATATTCGAATGCAGTCGTGGTACTACTTACCCTG